GACTCTTGCTTTGTTCCGAATGGTTGAACCGGCGGGAGGACGGATTATAATAGATGGAATTGATATTGCTCAGCTGGGACTTCACGACTTGCGCAGCCATTTGACTATCATTCCACAGGATCCAGTACTCTTCTCTGGGAGCTTGCGGTAACATTTGCGTAGATGAAATTGCTTTCTCCAGATGTAGTTTTTGTAGCTTCAACTTGGATCCATTCCAAAGTCATAGCGACACTGAAATCTGGCATGCATTAGAATTGGCGAATCTGAAACCTTTCGCGCAGGCGCAACCATCGAAGTTAGATCATGAAATCACCGAAGGAGGAGAAAACATAAGGTCGTTTTAAATACGCTTTGTTACGTCTGAGGAGAATGGGACCACCATATCTTTAGTGTTGGGCAACGGCAACTGGTATGTCTAGCGCGTGCATTGCTACGGAAAACACGGGTTCTTATCCTAGACGAGGCTACTGCTGCTGTAGATATGGTTACAGATTCTCTCATCCAACGCACCATACGGAGGGAATTCTCACAGAGCACTGTTCTTACAATAGCTCATCGACTTAACACTATCATGGACTATGACAGGTAAGGGCTCAGTAGTAGGTGCTCATCTTTTGTTTCTTTTTTCCTACTATTAAATAAATTTGTTTCCTTTTCAAGGATCATAGTACTGCATGATGGCCGAATATGCGAGTTCGATAGCCCATCTAGATTACTCAACAACAAGATGTCTGAATTTTACTCAATGGCCAAAAAAGCAGGAATTGTACAGTAATGTGCTCATATTTTTTCAAACACTGTCAGAGTTTCTGTATTCTGTGTGATCTGTTGTTTTACCTTTTCAGAGTTTATGAGAAGATAATAAAGATTTCTATAGCACTTGTGGTTTTGAGGGCAAATCGGCCCTCAGAAACATGAAGTAAATTCATTTAGTGACTATTATCTTGAATTGAGCCGTAAATGCCATAATACTGTTCAAACATAAATGTTGAAGTAAACAAAATTGGACAGTTTCAGATTACAATTTCTTCTAAAAAGGACTGAAGGCAGCGGCAACACGGCTTCCGGCGCTGGTGCAGAGTCGCGTGTATGACACTATGAACGGTATTCAGCTCCAAATGACAGCTGCGGTGGATGTAAGTGCGCCTAACTTCTGCAAGGTTTACCGCACTTTAAACCTAATATCGCCGTTTATCACTAAAATTCAGACCACTCTGTAATCTTTGCCAAACAACGATGGGAATTTT